GGGCCTGGGCCGGGCAGCGGCCGTTATGCGCCAGAGAGGGAGGAACGACCGCCCCAGGATGGGCGGGAGGGGTCTGGGCCGCGCCAGAGAGGGAGGGCGGAGGGCGATCTCCCGAGGCCTCGGCAGTCCACGCTGGGAGGCCGAGAGGGGGGCACGCGAGCGCCTGCGGCAGGGCCAGGTGCAGTGCACAGCGCAGGGGCACGGCCCGGGGAGGAGGGTGCACGACACGGCAGCTCGGGGGGCGTGCCTCCTGGCTCGGCTCACGGCCGGCCTGGTTTGAGAGCCGTGGCCGTCACGCACGCGCCAGCCTCTTCTCGGCTCTGCCGCCCCTCGTTGAAGGAGCCCTGGGACACACACATAAACAGTCTCAAACAACAGGATTCCCCATGTCTTCCTACATTCTCTGGGTTTGGGTCTTCCCCCCCCCCTGCTTCCCATAGCTTCCCACATGTTCGGGGGAATCGACGATTCATCGTGTCTGTGTGTTTTTTCTTTACCTCCTGACTCGTGTCGTCGTCCTCCTCCCCTTCCTTGTGCCCCCCTTCCCTGCGGCAGCCGTGGCCACTTCTGCGCGGCGCCTGGAAGATCCACCGGACCGCTCTCAGCCGCTCCTCGGCCGGGGCGGGAGGCACGACGCCGAAGGACGAGGAGGGAGGAAGGGAGGGACAAAGGGAGGAGGGAGCAGTCGGGGCGTTGACCAAAGGAATCCTAAATAAGGAACGAGGCCCCTTTCTTCCGTAAATTAAACTTCGATTCCCCATCGAAAACCTATGGACAACCTAAGGCAAGCTGCCAAACACTTCCCCAACGAAAAACGGAGCCCCTCCCCAACGAAAAAGGTTCCTTGTTCAGCGCCCTGACTGTAAGAGCTTTGGAGGAAGCGGCCGAAGCAGCGAAGAAACTCACAGTGGTCACAAGCAGCCGGCCGTGGGATCTAACGCAGAACCGCCTCGGAGACCGACATTCAGGGGCCTCGGCAGGCGGTGGATGTGAATAAAGTTGCCCCCGTAGGGCCCGACTATCTGTATAGACATTATACATGTATAATGTGTACACGTATATTTGCGTGTACACATGCCAGCCCTACATCTAGGAACATTTCGATGTATGGCTCCTTTTTCGACCTAGTTGTACGAATGCAACGAGTACCTATACATAGAAAGCTAATGCGGTACAACTTCGGGTGCGGCCTGGGAGGCTGATGCCGGAGCGCCACAGGAGGGCCCAAGACGGCCCCAGATGGCCCCAAGACGGCCCCAGAGGGCCCCAGGAGGCCTCAGGAGGGCCCGACGAGCGCCCCAAGAAGACCACGATGGGCCCAAGATGGCCCAAGATGCGACCAAGATGGCCACGCGACGGCCCAACGGGCTCCCGGGATGGCCCAAGGGGGGCCCGAAGACGAGGGCCATGTTCGTGAACTTCCCTTCTCGGGGTCTCCAGAGCGCTCGAGACGGCCGAAGAGGCCCCCGAGATCAAGATGGCCCAACAGGCGCCCAAGCAGGCCCCAAGACGGAAAATGGCACCGAAGCCTAAGGACAACAAACAAATGTTGCCTCCCAGGGGTCTCTTGGGAGTCGTCATCGGGCCCCCTCGGGCCACCTGGGGAGCCCGTTGGGCCGTCGCGTGGCCACCTTGGGCGCATCTTGGGCAATCTTGGGCCCATCGTGGCCTTCTCGGGGCGCTCGTGGGGCCCTCCTGAGGCCTCCTGGGGCCCTCTGGGGCCGTCTTGGGGCCATCTAGGGCCCTGTGGCGCTCCGGAACCAGCCTCCCCGGCCGCGCCCGAAGTTGTCCTGTATCTGTCTGTCTGTCTGTCTGTCTGTCTGTCGGTCGGTCTGTCTGTCTGTCTGTCTGTCTGTCTGTCTGTCTGTCTGTCGGTCTGTCGGTCTGTGTGTTAGTGTGTACGCCACCGTGCCCTGAGGCACGAGTTGGAGCGCCCTCCCGTCTGCTCGAGTCCTCGGTGCTATAGCTATTGAAAATGCCCTGCGAGAAGCCCACAGCCCGGAGTTCTGGGCGTTCCCGGGCGCTCCTGGGGACGGCTCGCGCGACTCTTCCAGAAGCCGCGAGCGCGCTGCTCGGGCCGTGCAGTTGCAACACTGCCAAGAGTGGCCACGAGGATCGTCCTGTAGCCCTCTCGGGCGCCTCCCAGGCCGTCTTCGAGGCCCTGGAGGGCGGCCCAAGAGACCAAAATCGTAGTATCGACCTTTCAGTCTTCAGAGCGTCCAGGACGGCGCAACATGCCCCTGAGATCGTGCAACAACTGCCCAAGAGCCCAGAAGAGGGTTCAAGAGTTCCCCATTGCAGGACGGCCCTGCCCCCCTCCGCCCTAGGATGGCCCCAAGATCCCCCCAGATAGCCCCGAGGTGCCCCCAAAGAGGCCCAGAGGCCCCAGGGAGGCTCCAGGAGGCCAAAATCATGCACCAAGAGGCCCCCGAGAAGGCCCCCAACAATCCCGAAATGTCTCCAAGAGGCTTCCGAGAGGTGTCCCAATATGTCCTGTGAGACATGTCAGGGGCCTCTGAGCGACAGGCCAGGCCAGGTGGCGGGATGGGCCGAATGCCATGACACACACACACGCACTCACACACACACACACACACACACACACATATATATATATATATATATATATGTATGTATGTATACATATACATTCATACGCACACACATACATATAACCACATACATGCATGCGTGCATACATGCATGCATGCGTACATACATACATACACACATACATACATACTGGCATATAGACATATACGCACATACATACACACATAGATACTTATGTATATATAAATACATACATGCATGCATGCATGCATGCGTACATACATACATCTCTATTTACATACATGTAAGTGTTCACGTGTGTGTACGTGTGTGTATGCGTAAATGTGTAAGTTGTAAGTGTGTAAGTGTGTGTATGTGTGTAAGCGTGCAAGTGTGTGTGTGTGAGAGTGTGTGTGTGCGTGAGTGCGGCATAGATTCTCGACGTCGGCGCTGCTCGCAGGGGCGAGGGCGGGGAACACGAGGGCGCGGAGCCCCAGATCAGGCCAGCATCGGCTCGGTCTCCCGACACGCCGACCACGCCATCCCGTGTGATTCCAATCACTTGCAAAACATCGGCCAGCGCCCTCACTCTCCCAATCATCGTGTGCATGTGGAAGACGCATTTGCCTAATATAGGTACATTAATACAAAAGTATGAATAGATTGAAGGGGCCCCAGGACACACAAATAAATACACACAAATAAAAATGTTCCCCATATTTTCCTATATTTTCTGGGTTTCTGTCTTCCCCCCCACTTCCTATATTTCCCTATATTCTCCTGGGAGTCGACGATTAATTGTGTCTGTGTGTTTCTTTCCCTCTCGGCTTCCTCGCGGCATCGCCGGGGCCTGAAGATCACCATTCAGGGTCGGCGGAACAGGCCGTAAGGCCTCCTTCCAACGGCGCAGAAGGGGAGGGGAGGGTTGAGAGGAGAAGGGAGAAGATGGCATGAGGAGGAGCAACACCCGCAGATGCACATATGTGTAAGCGTTCGTTCCGCCCCAGGAGAGAGGGCGACCACCACACCTCACCGCAGCGCGTTGGCGTCACAGCGTAGCTGTCTACGGCCGCCCAGCGAGCCAGGCACTGCGGCAAGGCATCGCAACCACGATCTGTTCAAAGCCGTGGGGCATGCTGAATGCCCACAGCGCAGCGCGTGGCAACAGCGGTGGCGAGGAAACGGGCACCACGTGGTTGGGGACGTCCACGAGCCGAGTGCGCATCATGAACTCCGCCGACCCTGTCCCGTCGACGTGGGCGCGAGGCTTTTCCCGTTCGAGTCGTCACCTCGTCGCCGCTGCGCCCCCCAGAGAGGGGAGAGAGAGGCAAGCTATGTGTGCTCGCGCTATATCGAACAGCCCACCACCCGTCGTGGTGCTCCTCCCCTGATGGGCTTGTTGTCCACCACCACCATGAGGAGGAGGAGGACGAGGACGAGGACGAGGAGGAGGAGGAGGAGGAGGAGGAGGTGGAGGTGGAGGAGGAGGAGGAGGAGGAGGAGGAGGAGGCCCCGGCGGGTTGTGACCCCCCCCCCCCCGGCGGGGGGAGAGCGCTCCTCCCTGGGAGGGGCCTCCGGCTCCAGAGCGTCGACGTCGTCGCCGTCATCGACGTCGACGTCGGCGTCGGCGGCGTCGCCGTCGTCGCCGCCGTCGTCGCCGCTGTCGTGGCCGTCGTCCCGCTTCAAGGTTGGCGGCACCGGCCGTGAGGCCTTCCCAAGAGGCAACCCTGCCACTTCTCAAACGGTGCCAAGCTCGGGGAACTCAGACATGGGCAAATTCCCAGACATGAGTGATGTGTGTGCAGGTGGCCACAATCACTGCCGTGCTTGCTCGGGAGCCGGACCTGCATCCGCACCACGAGGAAGCCGAAGTATAGCGTGTACGATGAACGCAGAGATGCGTTCTGTGTTGGTGATCGCCGCCGATCTCCGTAAACGCGTCGGGCCTTTTTGTCCTCCACCTCCACCGCCCCGCCGCACCCGCCCCACCATCTCCGAGCGATAGGCACGGAAGCAGGGCTGTGAAAATGCGAAACGCCAGAATCTAAAACTTCCCGAAGCCATCAAACACTTCTACAGACCAATGACCCGCACCTCCCAAAAGGCCCCCTCGGACCTGTGCCAGTCTTTGGCTGGGCTGTTCGCCGAGCCTTGCTGCAAATCAGTGCTACAGCATCGTGCACTCGCGACGCAAGTGCAACTACTCGCGGAACGGCCATACGATATCAACAAAACTCGTTGATGATTGAAGCGCACTGCCATGCTGGCCCGTGAACCACTGCCATGCTGGCCCGTGCACCGCACCCGCATGCGTACCAGAGCGTGATGAGTCATGATGTACGCAGCAGGCGAAGGTATAGAATTTGCTCATGGTAAAAACCACCAAGCCTCTGCATCAGCGGCCTGACCCTGTTCTTCCTCCACCGCGTCCTCCTCCTCAACCCCACCCACCAGTACCCCCCTCTTCCTTTCGCTCAATCGTGGCCCATCTAGACCAAAGCGTCAAGACAGCTCACGACATGGCGGAACTAATTCTTACTGCGTGTCGAGTGGGGCGCAGCCCCAGGGGCTGCCCAGCCCCCAGCGCTGGCCGCGCCAGGCGTGCAACCTACAGAGCGGGGCGCGGCAAATGGGGCAACTTCGCCCATGCCTGCTGGGCCCAGCACAACGTCTAATTTCAATGAGAACGGACAGCGGCAGGTCACTCCCTACAGGGCAGTTTTTAATACATAGGATTGTTCAACGTAACGGTTTTTTTATACATGATTAATTTATGCATGAATGTGTGCATGAACTCATCGTTGCTTTTAATACTAAATCCCTGCATTTTTTATACATGATCCGCACGCGGAGCATGTATTGAAAACGGCACTATACCGTGCCGGTCTACAGGTTGGGGACTCCGGTGCTCTCTCCTCACGACCGCCGGTGTTGCAGTTCGCATGCGGGCGCCACGCCCGTTTCGGCCCACGCCTCGCGCGCTTTGTGGCCCCAGGAGGAGTTCCACCGAAGACAATCCGCACGTTCGCGGCACTCGCAACTGCACATGGTCGGGACCTTCGCCAGGCGAATGGACGGCCCCGAGGCCCTGCGGGGGCTCCCAGGGGTCGTAAACAGACAGACACCCGCCCGTACAGCAGGAAAGAGAGGAGGAGGAGGAGGAGGGGGAGGAGGAGGAGGAGGAGGAGGAGGAGGAGGGAGGAGGAGTTCGCCGTGGTTAGCTTCGAATGCGTCCCACCGGGAGCCCAACCTCTCCCTGGACCCAGCCCGCCGCAGACCGACCAAGCAGCTGCCGAAGGAGGGGGCAGTGCAGCAGCGCAGCAAACCGTCGGAACCCCGCGCGGAGTTGTGCTCGATCGGCGCCGGGGCCCTCCTCCCTGGCGCGCCGGGAGCGCCAGCGGCGGCGCTGGAGGCGCCGCCGGGGGGGCCCCAGGGCCGATCCACAGACCCCGCGCGAGCTCCGACAACCTGTGCTCGTGCAGCGCCTCCTCCTCCGACCGCCGGCATGGTCTTGGCGAGCCGGGGCCCAGAGGGCCCCCGCTGCTGCCCCGAGGGCAGCGTGTCGCCCCGGGTCCCTGGTTTTACCAGCCTCGAACGTATCCCTATCCCCAAGATCGACGCGCCAAAACGCGATGACAATCTTGGGGATCCGCCCTCAAAAAGTAAGGGGATCCCCAAGATTGGCATCGTGATGAGGAGGTGCCCAGGATAGGGATGGGGGTATGTTCCAGGCTGGTAACTGGTGGATGGTCATGGGGCACGCGGGCGGCCCCCGAGGGCCCACATCCACAGGAAGGCCGCCAGCCGAACAGGACCAGAGCGTCGGAGGTCTGGGTGCGTGGCCGCCTCGGCTGCCCCGCTGCGCGCGGCCCACAGCCCGCAGCGTGCCGACACGGAGCTCCACACGTACGGACTGAGTAATTACGTAGGTCTGGCGCGATACAGTCGGGGCGTTGACCTAAGGAACCCTACATTGGGAAGGAGGCCCCCTTCTTTCCACAAGTCAGACTTCGATTCCCGATCGAAAGCCGAAGGAACACCGTGGGCAGGCTGTGAAACACTCCAGGAACACCCAGCCCCTCCCCAACGAAGAGGGCTCCTTCTTCGGGGCCCCGACTGTGCGTTCGCCAGAATCCCAGACCCCCGACGTCATGATTTTTTCATGACGCGACCCCCAGAGGTCCCGACCCATTCCCCGGGACCGGTTTTTCGTCCTGAGTCGTTTTTTGACGCTCCCGAGGCCCGGCGAGGGCCCCCGGAGGCCGAAAATAGCGAAAAACCTCCCGTCGTGATTTTTTCACGACGCGAGGAGGTCTGGGAATGTGGGCCAACACGGTGAGTCTCGAGCACGGCACGTGCCGCGCACCAGAACGGGCGCGCACCGAGGCAGCGAAGCACATGGCCCGACCGTCGGAGGCGTCCGGGTGCCCAGCCCCTCCGCCGCCGAGCGATGCCGAGTCCGCGCACGCGGGGGGGGGGGAGCGGGCCCCGAGCAGCGCTGCGCTGCGCGCGGCCGCGCGCAGGCTGGCGGCGAGCCTGCGCGGGAGGCGCCTGCACGCCCACCACCGCGCCGAGCCAGGGCCAGCCCGGCCCCGGCATGGTGTGCACAGACCCTGCTGGCCGAGGCCAGGAGGGTCCGTGCACCACCCTTCGGGCCCAGCGTGGCCCTGGCTCGGCGCGGTGGTGGGCGTGCAGACGCCTCCGTCGGAGAGCCTGGGGGGGCAGTGAGAAGGAGAAGGCCTCCTCGGAAGGCTCCGAAGTCCCCCGGCCTTCCGAGACGCTGCCCAAGCCTTCCCCGGAGACAAACAAAAACGCTTCGCAGAAGGCCGGAGGGCTTCTGATAGGTCCCGCCGCCTTCTGAGAAGGCCTTCTCCTCCTCAGTTCCCCCCCAGAGGAGGCGGGGGGAGGAGGAGGAGGAGGAGGAGGAGGAGGAGGAGGAGGAGGAGGAGGAGGAGGAGAAGGAGGAGGAGGAGGAGGAGGAGGAGGAGAAGGAGGAGGAGGAGGAGAAGGAGGAGGCTCGCCGCCGAGCAGGAGTGGCCCTGGGCAAGAGTGGCCGCTGCTGCGCGGTTCTGGGAGGGCCGCGGGGAGGCCCACACACAAGCGCGCAAGAGACGCGACAGCTGAGGCCGGTCCACGAGGAACCTTCCACGAGAAGCGCATCCTTCTCCTCCTCCTCCTCCTCCTCTTCATCCTCCTCATTATCATCCTCATCCTCAGGACGTCCGCTGATCTTTGGTGTGGGAACGTCACGCTTCCCGTGGCACATCCACCGAAACCCAAGAAATCCGGGGCACCCTGGAGGCAAACAGGGCGCCTCTTGGCATGGGTCTCCACTGCATCGCATCGCGCTGGGCGATCGGGGGACCCCAACGGGCCCGCACCACAGGTCACTCCGGCGAAGGGTCGCTCTTACGCGTAGCCGAGCAGAACGCATCATAACCACGGCAGCGCTAGCGAGGGCGACGGAGACAGAGCGAGGCGGGAATCTACACATCGCCACCGCCTGGGGAACCGACGTCCTGGGACCCCAACGGGCGGTGGACTGGGCCCCAGGGGAACGGACTCTCTCTCTTTCTTTATTTTCTTCTCGTTCCCCCTCTTTCTGTTTTTTTTGTTGTCTCTCTCTCTCACACTCTCTCTCTCTGCCTCTCTTACTCTATGAATACACACATAGATCTATACTCTCACGGATCTAGCATGCTTGTATACATATGTGTATATATAACAGTAAGCGTGAACACATGTTACACACCATCTGCCAAGGTCCCCGAAGCCTTCGGTCCCCGAGGGGATCGACCTTCGGGCCGAAGGTCGATCCCCCGGGCGGCGGTCATGGACGAGTCCCCGCCTCGGAGACCGGGCACGCAGACGAGCCGCACCGAGGCACGGCTCTGTGGAGAGAGGGCCCGCCCTGCAGGCTCGGTTTTTCACAGCACCTCGTCGGGCGGCGCTGCGGCCTCCCCCCCGCAGGAGGCGAGGATCAGGGGAACAAGAAGTGGCACAAGCATAGAAACTCGGAGGTCCGCGCGGATTTCTCGGATCGGCACCGGGCCCCCTTCTCTGGCGCGCGGAGCGCGCCGCCGGGGGGCCCCGGCGCCGATCCGGGAAATCCGCGCGGACCTCCGAGTTCGTATGTTTATGCCACTTCTTGTTTTCCTAAGGACGGTGAGCTGCAGCCCCAGACCCCTGACGTCATGATTTTTTCATGACGCGACCCCCAACGGTCCAGACCCATTCCCCAGGACCGGTTTGTCATCCTGAGTCGTTTTTTGACGCTCCCGAAGCCCGGTGAGGGCCCCCAGGGGCCGAAAATGGCGAAAAACCTCCCGTCATGATTTTTTCATTGCTCGAGGGGGTCTGGGGCTAGAGAAGAGACGGGGGCGGCCGCACATGGAAAAGAAAAGCGCCCCCGCTCCGGCGGGGGGCGCCATCCGTCAGAGCAGCTCAGACCGCCGCCAGGGACCTCGAGGTCTGCCCGGGGGCGGCGCCCCCGCGTCCCGCCGCGAGTGCGCGCCACGGTGTGCGCCCTCTGCTCCCTCCCCCCCCCCCCTCCCTTGAGCAGGGACCGACCGTCCAGGCATTCCTGTAGGCCTGCCACGACATTTTCTCAGAACCCCCCCCCAAAACAAAAATCCCAATCGCAAGAACAAGGATCTCAGAGAACACAAGCCCGGTGTAGCAAAACAAGCCCATCCCCTCCAGAAACGTGCCAAGATCCTTTCGCAGAAACCACGAGAGGCTCTTGGAACATCTCTTGGCGGGCCTGTAGGCGAGCCGGGACGCCTCGCCACACCTTGACATCCCCCCTCCCCCGCATCCGCGGCCTCGTCGTTCGTCTGTCGTTCGTCGTACAGTCGGACTCGATTGGGCAGGACACGCGAGAAGACACAAGACCCTTCCGAAGGCCACGCTGCCACAGAAAAACGCGGGAGGCACGGGCCGCGAGACACAGGACACAGAGGTACCCCAGGTTCGGCAGGGCCGACCTGCTGCTCTGGGCCGACTGTGTCCGCCGTCGTGTCGCGTCGTGCCTCTGACCTCTGCCGCTGGGCTCCTCCCCCCTGCGCTGGTGGAGCACTGTGCGCCCTCTCCCCTCGCCCGCGCCGCCGCGGCCCCTCGCGCGGAGGCGCCCCGCGGCGGGCCTCCCGCTCTCTCGCGAGGGCGGCCGGGGCCTGGGGCGCACTGGGCCATCCACCGCCTGGCCATCGCTCGGACGTCCATTCCCTGTGTTTTTTTTTGGTTTCGTGCGCGGTTTTTTTCACGAAATGATAGGAAGGATGCTCCTCGATGGTCCCCGCCGAAGGAAAACTGCACGCGTCCGAGCGATGCCGAGCGAGCCGCTCGCAGCACCGCTGGCGGCGCGCACGGTGCAAGGGGGAAAGAGGGAGGGGGGGAGGGCTCCATAGCAGGAGGCTGCCACTCAGAAGGCGCCGGCCGCCTCTGTATCAAGCCAGGGGCACGCCGCTTCTCAGAAGCACCCCGGCAGCCTCTCAGAAGCACGGGGTAGCTTCTTAGAGGCGACAGCAACTTCTCCGAAGCAAGCCACACGCTTCCTAGAAACACGCCAGGAACAGTTTTTAATAAGCAGCCGCCAGCTTCTTGAAAAGGGCGCCTGCGCCTGCGTAGAAGGGGGGGTGCTCCTAAGAAGCCTTCCCCCCTCCCGCCCCCCCACTTATGCGCGTGGCTAACTGCCGTCAAACAGCCACCTCAGAGTCCTTCGAGCCCGATGACCGCCGCTTACAGCCCACCGTGACTGCGCTGTCCGTTACCTGGCCCATCTGGTGATCGCACCAAGTGACCGTGAGGCCGCCCCCGTGCCCGACTTCAGCGGCCGACCTGCATCCGAGGCCAACCCTCGACGTCAGCTCGGGTTCCGCCTCCGACGCTGGCGTTGGACTTCCGCCAGACCGCTGTTGTGAGACCAGCGAGGCCGCACGCGTCTGCGCCTCATGGGCCTCGACGATCGTACTGATGGTGTGCATCATCCATTCGCACTGGTATTGCAATTTCATCACGTCCAGCGTCTTAGCCTCGCCCGTGAGCCGGAGGCAGCCGAGCAAAAAGTCGTCCAGGGTGATGTGGCCTTTTTGATCGCGGTCCAGAAGCAAGAAAAGCGTTCGCACGTCTGTCACCTCCAAATCCAAGGCGTGGAACCTGTCAATCAAGCCCCTGCTCACGTTGAAGATGACGTGCCTCATGCCTTCGAGAGTCAATCTCCCGTCGCCGCCTGTGTCCAAATCCTGGAAGAGGTCTCTCAACCGACTCATGACATTGGTCCTTTTCTCCGCGGCAAACTGTTCCATTGAACTGCTGTCACTGCGCGCCCAATGGTTGGCTATCTCCACAAAGATCCCAGTAACGACATTTGCCGTTCCGAAGATCCGCCACCGTGCCTGCACTGAATGGGCTTGTTCGAATGCTCCCATGTTGTCTGGTGAAATTTCTTTCGTGCTGTCAATGGCCGGCGCCCCCACTCGTTCCGCGAGCCCTCCGGATTCCCCTTCCCTCTGGAGCCGATTTGGGGCGAGTTCCCACATCAATTACTCCGACGTTTGGACACCACATGGAGATCTGTTTAAATTGCCCTTAGCCCTGTCCTCCTCGCCGTGGCGGACACCCTCCTCTCACCCTCAGCTGCCCCTTCGTTTCCTCATCCTTCTATTTCTCCCCTCCTCCTCCTCCTCCTCCTCCTCCTCTTCCTCCTCCTCCTTCTCCACCTCCCCATCATCTCCCTCCCCCTGCTCCTTTTTTCCCCCTCCTCATCCTCCTCCTGCCCCATTTGCACCTCCCCTTCCGATCTCCCTCGGCGCCGCCACCGATTCGGTCAGCGCGCGCGCGCGTTCGCCGACGGCTGGGTCGCGAAGCCTTTGGGGCAACCCTGCGGGTCCTGCCTTTGGGGCAACTCCGCGGGCCGCTGGGGCGCGCGGGCAGGCCGTCGGGGCAACTCCGCGGGCCAGGCCGTTGGGGCAACCCCGCGGATTTCGAGGTAGGCGCGGCCGCGTTCAGGCGGGGGGCAGCGCGAAGCCCAGCCCTGCTGCGAGGTGCTCCGCCTCACCCCTGGAGGTCTCCACTGTCTCATTGAACGTTTTGAGTACCTTCTGCAAGGGCGGCGGCGGAGGGCGCCCCAGAAACTCGCGCGAGGGCGGCCGCATGATCAGCGCGATCCGCATGCCCGTGGCGTGGGAGAACATGACGCGGGGGTGCAGCCACCAATGCTCGTCCGACATGCCTGCGCGGCCAGCGTCCTCGCCCCTCGCGCAGTCGACGGCGAGGCCCTTACGCAGCGTCTGGCCCTGCGACAGCGTGGAGGTGAGACAGGACGCGTGCGTCAGGGTGGGCCCCGAGCGACGCGCGACGCGCTGGGCCTGAACATGAGCAAGTTCATCGCCTCGGCCTCGGCCTCGCCGTCGTTGTCGGCGATTTCGGTGCTCTGTCGCAGCAGCTCGGCGACCTCCTGGTAGGTCGGAGACTCCTTGAAGCCGCGCACCTGCAGCCATTTTCCCTGCGGTAGGTAGCGGGCGCGAAAGAACTGGCCCGTCGCGCACTCTGAGTGAAGCCAGAGGAGGCCAAGAAATGACGATGACGACAATTACAAGATCCCGATGACCCGCTCGGATTAATAACGTGACCTGCGGGCCCCACAGGAAGTGGGCTCCCGCATGAGACTTCCTCACACTTCTCTCACAGATGAGGCTCCCGTTCGAGATTTCCTCCATATTCGAGCCTCAGGCGGCCAAAAATGATAACAATTACAAGATCCCCGTGACCCGTTCGGATTACCAATGGAAGTGCGGGCCCCATAAGGAAGGGCTTCCGCCTGAGACTTCTTCGGGGGCTCCCGCTTGATACTTCCTTCATACTCAGGCCTGGGGGGGCCAAAAAGCGACGACAATTACAAGATCCAGATGGCCCGCTCGGATTAATAACATGATCCGCAAGCCCCACAGGGAGGGGGCTCCCGCCTGAGACGTCCTCACAATTCACTGACGGACGAGGCTCCCGCTCCCAAACATCTTCCACATCCAAGCTTGAGGGTGCCAAAAATGACGACAGAAACAAGATCCCGATGACCCGCTCGGATTCATAACATGATCTGCGGGCCCCATAGGGAGAGGGGGTCCCGCCTGAAACTTCCTCGCAAGTTACTCACAGATGAGGTTCCCGCTTGATACTTCCCTCATATTCAGGCCTGAGGAGGCCAAAAGTGACGACAGTTTCGAGATCCCGATGAACCGCTCGGATGAATAACATGATCTGTGGGCCCCATAAGTAGGGGGCTCCTGCCTGAGACTTCCTCACAATCCACTTACAGACGAGGCTCCCGCTCGAGACTTCCTCCATACTCGAGCCTGGGGAGGCCAACAGTGACGACAGGATTCGTCACGTGATCTGCGGGCTCCATGGGGAGGGGGCTCCCGCCTGAGACCTCCTCGCAATCCACTCATCGACAAGGCTCCCTCTCGAGACTTCCTCCATATTCAAGCCCGAGGAAGCCAAACATGACAACAATTACCGGATCCCGATGGCCCGCTCGGGTTATGAACATGATCTGCGGGCTCCATTGGGAGGGGGCTCCCGCCTGAGATTTCCTCGCAATTCGCCCAGTGGTAGTTATGAGTGCGCGAATGAGCCACTCAGGAGAAGTGAGTGAGTGTGTGTGTGATAGTGAGTGAGTAAGTTCTCAGTGAATGAGAATGATCCAGGGAGTGTGAGTGAGTGTCTAAGTGAGATGATGTGGTGGTGATGATGGTGCTGGTGATGGTGATGATGCGAATGTTGATGATGGGGGTGATGATGATGCTGATGATGCTGATGATGATGCTGATGTTGATGCTGATGCTGATGCTGATGCTGATGCTAATGATGATGATGATGATGATGATGATGATGATGATGATGATGATGATGATGATGATGATGATGATGATGATGATGGTGATGATGATGATGATGATGGTGATGATGATGATGATGATGATGATGATGATGATGATGATGATGATGATGATGATGATGATGATGATGATGATGATGATGTGTGTGAGTGCGTGAGTGTGTGGGTGACTGGTGGGGAAGAGGAGGGAGGACCAAAGATCCTGCGGAAGGGGGGGGGTGCAGTGAAAACAAGAGCCCCACTTGGGATGCGGGTGTACAATCTCAGCGCCCCTCAAACGGGGACTCCATTAACGGGTACTTTGGCCAGTGACCTAGCGAACCCAACCCTTCCCGATGCGGGCAACGCTGCATTGCCAGAAAGAGGCCCTAAAGTGGCAACTTTCGGCAAAATTGCAAAGTACCCGTTAGTAAGTACCCGTTGCGGTGCCGCTGATCAATCTGGTGCCGAAAGCAAACCGGTCCAGGGGCTGCCCAAGAAGGCCTCCAGGCGCTCCAGGGGTGCTCCAAGAGGGGCCAAGGCAGCAAGGAGGCCGAAGATGGCCCGAAGACGGCACGGACAGGAAGGCCCAAGGGGCCCCTCAAAGATGGCCCAAGGCGGCTCCCCAAAGCCCAAGAGGTCGAGTTTGCTACCCGCCTCAGTTCAGACCGCTCGGTGGAATTCAGCTGCACCCTCAGTTCAAACTCATTCATGCTGAGCTGTAGCCCTGGCGCGGTGGCGGGGTTTGCCGCAGGCAGCTTGATAGCGAACAGAACGAAGAATAGGAACATGAATCGAAAGCGCAGCTGCAGGGGCGACAGCGTGTCGAAGAGCACCCCCCAGTTGATCCCCCCAGACATCGCCTCGAACAAAGAGAGCGCGCACCGATGAAGTGTGCCGAAATAGCGGCGCAGGTCTGCGGTTGAGCTGTCCTCCCATAAGTCGTGCTCGCGCAAGTGGTCTGTCACCCCCTGAGTGAAGCACAACCCAAACAAATAGAACATGCCCATGAGGACGATGGAGGCCCACAACAGGGGCCGCAACGAGAACATGATCGACCGGATCATGATCCGCAATTGTGCGAAGAATCTCAACTGCCTGACAGAGCGCAAGAACCGGACGACTCGAAGTACGCGCAGTATGCGCAGCCCGGACACCTGCTGATTCACATTACCGAAAAACTCCAGGACCATCAGCAGCACCACGAAGACGTCGAAGTAGCTCCATGCTGCATCGCCCCCCGTCCAGAAGTGGCACCCCATGCCGTACATCTTCATCGCCAACTCCGCGGTGAACACGATGCAGAAAAAGGCCTCCACCTCGCTGGTCATGGGCAGCTTCTTCTGGGTCTGGGCCTCGTACTCCACCTGCCAGCCCAGATATACGGAGTTTGCGAGGATCAGCAGCATTACGCACACCTCATAGCATGTACTGGACACAAGCTTTTGCACCCTCTGTTGCGCCGCCGAATTGCCGCAGTCGAAGTTAGCAACGAACCTACGGAAGGACCACGGCATCTTCATCCAAACTGTAGAGCTTCTGGTCGTCGGGGCCGAGTCGAGCCATAGTCCCTGAAGGTCGTAAGAACCGATCGGGTCGTGCTCAATCAACTCGATGGCCCCAGTCGAGCCCGCCGGTGTCCGCTCTGGCTCTTTCGACACGTTGCTACCCTCCCAGAGGGAGTAGGCAGCGGAAAACATGCTCTGCAAGCTGCTCGAATTCACCGACTTGCGAGGCCCCTTGTTGCCGCCGTGCCGCTTGGTGGGCGTGTTCGGCGTCTGTGCCCTCGACGGCGTCGGCGGCGCCTTCGCCGGGGACTCGCTGCGCGTCGGCACGGAGCCCGCGAACGCCTCCCAGTCCTGAGGGGGAACGGGGAAACATCGGCCTGGAATCGGCGATGCATCGCAGGTAGATCGGCGAGATGCACCCGATGGCGAAACCGCAGGCTGCTGGGCGGGGTGGTCTAGCAGGCCCCCCAAAAGCAGCGAGAAAAGAGCCATGGCGGGTCGATGCCTTTCCCACTGAGCTCATCCCCCACCCCCCTTGGATTTTCTGCGGGTCATAGCTCGGCTCTCCGGCTGCCGTCTGGGACGATCCGGGCACCCCTGGAACGCTCTCGTCCAGGCGCTACGGCTGGAAGACACCCTCGAGGCTGAAAAACGACTAAGAGAGCCGACGAGAACGCCCGAAAAAACCTGGAACCTCGGTGCTCTAGAAGCCCTGGGCAGGGCACGCGCAGCTGCTGGAAGCGGGCCCGAGGAGGGAAAACCGAGAAGAAAGCCGACGAGTATGCGCGAAAACCCCAAACCCTGGTCCTCTAGAAGCCCGAGCCCGGGCACGCGCAGCTGCTGGAAGACACCCCGAGGAGGGAACATCGAGGAGAGAACCGACGAGAACGCCCCAAAACATAGAGCCTCGGTGCCCTAGAAGCCCGAGCCCGGTCACGCGCAACTGCTGGAGGGCAGCCCGAGAAGGGAAAACCGCAGAAAAGAGGAGGACCCCCCCCCTGACGCTGAATCCCAGAGTCCTCGCTCTCGCCGAGCGGCGCCTTGTCCTGGCGGCGATCCGCGGCGAACGTCCTCGTCGGCTGCACGCAAGCGACCCTGGGCAACAGCGGCCACCGATGCACGGCTTCAGGGGGCCGCGGGGGGGACCAAATCCAAGCGCGCCAACCAGTCCTGGAAGGACCCCTGTAGGCCCGCGCCCAAAGGTCACTCCAGCGAAGAGCCACTCGTACCCGTAGACGACCACCTGAAACACCAGACGTCGCGATTTCTTCGCAACGAGGACCCCCAGAGGTCTCAACCACTTCTCCGAGACCAGCTTCTCATCCTGAATCGTTTTTGTTGACGGTCCTGGGGCCCAGCGAAGGCCCCACCGGCCGACAATGGCAAAACAAACTCTCTGTCGTGACCACGCGGGGACAAGAGGAGGTAGAGGAGAAGGAGGAGGAGGAGGGGGAGAAGGAGGGGACTAGAGGTAAAAGGTGAAGGGTCAAAGCGGACTGTTTAATAACACGGGCACGGAAACTTGGCCAGCTGTCGTGCCCCCGAGGAAAAAAACGGCGGCGGCGAAGGAGACGATTACAAGAGCAACGAGACAAGGGCTGCATAGTAAGGTCCCGTTCGAGCCTGGTGCTCCAGCGAGACTGTTGTGCCTTGCCGGTTCCTATGTGCAACCACACCCAAGCTACCGAAGCAAAAGCAAACCACATAATGCGATGAAACAAGTTCATACGAACCAGGTTCTTGAGGGGATCTGAGCACATAGTACCTTCTACTGACCAGGTCCTTAACTTACAAGCAACCCGGCAGCAAAACATTTGAATGGAGCACGCCGCTGTTCACTTTTATGCTTTACTGTCCGAAACCTGCTGTTCCACCAACATACTTCGTGAAATCAACCCACTCACCGGCATGCTCGGCTCTTCGTACATCCCTTCCCGAAGCAATCTGTCAAACAAAACTCGCATCCACAAACATGATTTGTGTCTGCGAGCGTCGCGTGGCTTAGCCATTCGAGACACAATTATCCTTGAGGTCGCTGCTCGAGGCCTCCTCGATGGGGTCCGAGCCGATGGGGTCGAAGGATCGCGCCGCATCGCCAATGCATAACCGATGTATCGGCGATGCATCGGCGACGTCGGCGATGCATCCGCGACGTCGGCGCGGGGAAACACGGGCTCCGCATCAAGCCGCATCGTCGATGTATCGGCGATGCGGCGCGATCCTCCGACCCCATCTACTCGGACCCCATCTAGGAGGCCTAGAGCTGCAGAGCTGGGGCGGGAACTCGGCACTGTCTTTCGCTCCTCACTCAACCTGGCCGCGTCGTGATCGTAGCTGAATGTCCAACCATGGTTTAAAGAATGAACTCGCGGCCGATGCCACCCTTCGTCATGGGGTCGGCCCTCAGATCTCGAGTGTCGCACTGGATGATGTCGTCAATCTGTTTGGTACGGAGCTGGTTCAAGAAGTGCCATCGGTGGCCTGCCATACTGATCGCCGAAGGCGGACGAACAGAATCCATTGCCAAGGCGGAGAATATGTACATGCCGTCCACGACCAGCTCGGCCGGCATGGCGTAACCCCCCTTCCTCCCTCAGCCTCCTAAGCTCCTCTGCGGGGCCGCGCGCCATCTCGTGGAACGCCAGGAGGTGCGCCTACAGGCCATCAGCTGCGCCGCAGGCTGCGAGCAGCCCTTAGCCGCATGACGAGCGACGCCCAAGTTTGTGCGATCGGCTCACTGCGTCGAGCAGGTGGCAGCTCGGCCTACGGATGCTGCGACAGTTGCCCAGACGCATGCACACGGCGCCCCGCATGCCGCACCCGGTCTCCTCCTCGCGCTCTAACGAGCCGCCCCTGTGCACGCAGAGTCGGCCTGTGCACTCCATTGGCGGGAAGGTGGCGCGCGCCTTGATCTGCTGCGTGGCCATCGCGACGGAGTTGAGCTGCACCGCGCGCCTGATGGGCAGCCTGTTCGTGGCCCGCTGCAGCGCGACAATATGCGGCAGCGCGGTGTTGCGCGAGCCGAGCATAGGCTGCTGCTCCGAAGAGGGAGACGAAGAGGTCTGGAAGTGGACCTCCGGCGGCCAGCTCGTCGGCCTTCGACTCGGCAAGGTCGATGTGCCTGGCAGGGATCAGAGCGTCGATGAAGTCGCCCTGGTCGAGCGTCGCGGCACCGTTGGCACTGCGGTGTTGATGGACTCCGCAATTAGCGCAGTCGTCGCAATCGCCTTCCATTATGCCGAAGACGCTCTCGACGCGGCCGATAAGCGGTCGATATGCTACTTGCGCCCTGCGACCTTCAGGCGTCAACGCGCATGGGCAGCGCGAGCGCTAGCTCCGAGCCGCTGGTGCTATAGGTGCCAGACGTCGCGTATTTGGCCTCGACCTCAGAGCCCCACCACGTCGGCTCGGCGTTGCATTCGGGCGAGCGCGCGACCCTGGCGAGCTCCATGGAGGAGACTCTGGGCGAACCTTTGCAGCCAGTGCCCGGCTTGATGCAGCAATCACTCGGTCCGCTTGTCGAAAGACTCGCGGCCTGTTGCCTGCCTGAGAATCGCTGCAGCGCCCGGCGGCAACATGAGAGTCACCTCGCGCGGTGCTTCGCCCTGCTCTTGCATCTCGGCGTAGGTCATGCCCTGCAAGAACGCCCCCTCGACGTCCACGGCGACGCGCACCCGGTCTGGGCGACGAGCCGCCTCTGAGAACAGAAGGCGGCGCCGGGGCGCCCGCTTCGCCAAGCCGGTGAACGTCTCCAAGACTCTGGCGCCCATGTCGCCTCTCAGCGCCATTCGGCACCGATCCCGGCGGTCTTGCCGCCCGATCCCTTCCAGTGCTTCCACTTCAACGCGCGTCTGAGGCCCGCGACGTTCTGGGCGCCTTTGGGAGGTCGTCGCTCGAAACCCTTGCACTTGACCCAGATCGCGTGCTTCTCGAGGATGGCTGCTGCGATCTCTTTGGACAGCCCCGACACCTCCTCATTGGACAGGAGGTCAGCGTCGCGCTCGACAACCGTGGTTTCGACGGCGGCACGCGCGTTAAGCGCGGCTGCGGTAGTGCAGTAGAGGTACCAGCAACAAAATTGCCCGACGGTGCCCGGTTACAGCTCAAGAGTGCTTCTCGCGCTCCGGGGCCCACGTGCAAATCCACATGCGCCCCCCCTTCGCCCCCAACCTTGCGCGCGGCGCAGTCGTCGCAGGAGACGCTGCGCAGGTAGTAGCGACGCTGCGCCGCTGACGCTGCGCGGCCAGGCGTCGGGGCCTTTCGCGCGGCCTGCGGCCTAGACTGGCCGCCGCGTGCTCGCCTGCAGCGCGGGCCCTCTGCTGGCTGTCCGTGCTCCCCAGCTCCTGCAGCTCCTGGGCCCGATCCTCCGCCCCCGCGACTTCCTGCCAGGCTGCCAACATCACATGCTGGATGTGGCCAGAGAAATCGCTGTCGGCTTCTTCGGGCATTGCCGGCGGGGCCGATGGCGACCTGCCCTCCGCGATGCTGGGGGCGCCCTCGGGGGCGCCAGTGGCGCAGACATCGAACGCCGCGTCGTGGCCCTGACCGGCGTCTGCTGCAAGCAGCGGCTCGTCACCCAAGATGAACTAGATGATGCGAGTGTCTTTCCACTGCTCGCCGGCAAGGCCGCGGGCGTCGAACTTGGCGCCGCCCAGGGATCCAGTTAGCGAGCGTCGCTCGCGTTCCGAGGAGCCGCCAGATGACCCAGCTGCGGGCGCAGCCTGGCCAGTCGCCCAATGACTTCTGGATGCGCACAGGACGCACGACACGAAAATATGGTAGCTGAAAGCATATGCGGGGGGTGAAGTGGAGCAGAGCCTCGAGGACATCGGGAGTTTTGCCGAGCCTGCTCGGTCAGCTACGCGCCCTTCTTGCCCCCCAGTGGCCGAAGGTCATGATCCCAGAGCCTGGCGCGACGCGCTCCAGGCAGTCCTCCGCGCGATCCGAGGCCTGTCCTGCTCGCGCCATGCTGGTGCCCATGTCGTCGAAGACGGCGCCGATGAATGCCCGCGCGTCCTGCTGTCTGCAGACCATCTCGGCTTGGCGGCACTTGACTGCAACCTTGCATCTAGCCTGTCATGTCCACAGACAGAACCGCGCCGAGCCTTGCCCAGCCCAGCGCGTTGTTGTGCTAGCTCCACCTGGTGACCCACGCTGAAGCGATATTCTCCGGTCTCGGCGGCGCGTGTCCGGAAGGCGCGGCTAACGCGTGCCATCGAAGTAGCCTCGATCATGCGTTGCAGGGCGACATCGCGGATGCGCCACTGAATTTGGCCAGGCTGCTCTTCAGAGCCAGCAGAGGGACTGGCGCCAGCAACGCAGTCGCCGGATACCTCGCCCTCCTCGTCTGCTTCGAGCGGTGGCAGCATGGAGGGCTGCCTGCCGAAGACGACGTTGCACGGTGCAACACCGCCCACGTGGGAAAGGCTCTTGCCCGCGACGATAGCGCGGGCCAGCATGGCGTCGAAGTTGGCGGCGATACCTTCGCGCCCCAGCTGCTCCTCGGCGCGTGGTGAGCGTAGGAAAGCACCGCGTCGCTCTATGAAACGAGCTCGCTGGCGCGGAGCTGTGATGTCCGCGCGCGCTCCTCGCCCCCTCGTCTCCTCCACGAAGTGCGTCGATGTCATCCCGCCTTCGCCGTCCACAACGAAGGCATCCATCGAGCCGAACACCTGAATCCAAAACGGTCGGCGACCGCAAGCAGCGTCGAGTCGCGTCTGCTCAAGATCTCCCGGCCGCTGTGCCACCTCGAGGCACAGCAGATCAAGTGCAATATACTTCGATCCTAGTAGTAAAGGATCTCACCTTCGACGTGCTGGTTAAATCGCGTCGAAATACGCGCGCGGGAATGGCTTGGCGCGCTGGCGGTAGCCACTCACGACATCCCCGACAGTGTTTGACCACTGTGGGGATGTGGTCAAGGATTGCATGCGGTATGTTGGCTGCACGTAGAGCCCGCGCCATTTTCTCCCTAGTGGCGCGCAACCACCGGAGGCGTAGCTTGCGTAGCTCTCGCATTCGTTTCTCGCGCGAGCTGCCACGCAGTGCTGACAGTGACGCATGTCGAAACG